TTGGAGCAGGGAAGAGGAGGAGAGAAGCATCACCCAGGGGATTCACATTTCCTCAGCAACTAAACTCTTCCTCAAAAGAACTAGAGAAACTATCTTGCCAGCTGAAGAATCATTCCTGACACAACAGTGCCCTTGATTCAAAGGCACAATTCCTTGTATTGCCTGACAGCTGCAGCAAGCAGTAGATTTTGGACTTCAAAGCTCTGCCTTAATACTTACCTGCTCCAGTATACCATTTAGTCCTCACCCTGCTCACCAGGCTCAGCGCTGGCTTGCATACAAACTTTTAAGCATCAAAGCTGAAATTGTTCCTCTGTCTACAACCTTACCATCAGAACAACTCCATCTCCCTCTATCATCAAGTTCACAAGTTCAAGCCTATTAAGCCTAATTGGATAACATACAGCTCTGTCAGAGTGAAAACAAACTCAATACCTCCATCTGTCCCACTTTTATGCCGTCTCCTCAGCCTTCTTTGTGTTTCTGCTTGCTGTCCAATGTTGTAAAAAGGGGATCTTGCCATGTCCCCAGTTTCTCCATCACCTCCTTGCATGCAGGAGCACGTTTCTTTATTTGCAATATTCAGTAGCTTTTCATTTTTCTGCAATTGAAAGAACACTGTCTGAAAATCCAACAAAGAGCCAAACAATGTGTTCCACAGCATACTACTTATTAAAGCTAGGATGAAGATGAACAAGCAACCCAAAGGACTGTATTAGTTCTGATTCTTGCACCCCAGCTGAACTAGAACTGAAGAGAGCAACTTGAATAGCGAAGGAAACAGGTACTCTTGCATTGAGAATGGTTACTAAGTGTAATTCCCTGTAATAGCACTATCTGAGAACACACAGAGTTTGACTTTGGAACAGCAGTTGTGTCAGAACAGAATATTCAGAAAAGAAAGAGTCTACAGAAGGCATAGTAGTGGATATCTTTTCAGGAAGCTAAAAAGTACAGACAGGGCTCTGAATATTCTGCATCAGATGAGATATACACTTTTAAATTTGGTTTATTTTTATATTAGCTTGACTTTCCCTGAGGGCAGTTAAGAACATTAGCCAAAAGTATGCCACTGCATCCCTGAAGATGAGTTAATGAGTAGAAATGCAACATCCAATCGTTACTGTACAGTTCTGAGTTACACTGAACTGTAGAGCAATGCCTCCACATTTATTTGCCTGTCCACTCTGACATATAGAAAGAAATTTCTGAATCACAGTACTATAAACCTAAGAAGCCACTATGAGTTCTTAAGATGCTCCTAACTTAAGACTGTGGATGCATGTCCTTAACTGATCAATGTGTGCATTAAAATATATAAATAAATAAATCACACTCCTAACCTGGTTGTCTTCTATTACAAACATTGAGAGTCTCACAACCGTACCTTACCACATCCTTTAAAATGCTGGCCATGGATTTAGCCCTCTCTCAGAGCTCTAAAGGACTTGTTACAAATGACTGCAAACGATGGATTCCCCAATTCTCTGGATCAGGTGGATTTTACATAGTGAGGGAAACAGGTATGAATCACTCATCTGTTTTCTCACATCTCTTCTCTAGCTATTATTTATAATTCCCTGAAATATTACCTCTTTCCACTCTTGCTCATGCTTTTCCAGAATTTTGTAAACTGTCCTTCTGTAGGCCTTTTGTAAGCATGCCTTCAGTTTGTCCTTGCAGTGATGATTTAATTCAATAGGAGCATCAGAAATCCTCTCCTTCCAAGAATGCTGACTATAGGTGCTTTTAACTAGCTCTTCATGGACTTCTCTCAATAAACACTCAAGCTCAAGCAGAGTCTTCTCCTCGTACCGATTAATTTCATCCTGAAGTCTTTTTGTTTCCTGAGCCTCCCAATCTCGCTGCTTTTGGTCTAGTAACATCTTCATTTCTGCCTCCTTCTGAGCAGAGAGATCATTCACCTGCTTTGCAAAATCCTCCTTTGTTGTTGCAAGTACCTCTTTAATCTTGTTTCTGTGGTCATCTAAGAACGATCGGTAGTCTCTCTCATTTTGCTCTTGTATTTGTGCAATTTCTTCTTGCTTTTCTTTGTTCCACTGAGCACGGGCTTTCGCTACTGCTGCTTTGATAGTCACAGGGATTTCTTCTTCCTTTAGCTCTAATTCTTTCTTGAGAGAAACTACCTTTTCCTCAAGTTCTCTAATTATCGATCCAGACTTCTCTGTATTCTCATGCTCATTCTTCCATTTTTCTTCATCAGGAGAGAATGCCAAAGCCAACTGGTTAACAAGTAAAATAGAGTCATTATAAAGATATATATGGCATATATATATTATATAGCTATATACACACACACAAAATATACAGAATATATATAGTTCACTGAGAAGTTCCTACAGCCTTTAATAAAAACATCATTATTAATGCAAAAATAGAAAAAAATATCAACGTAATACTACACTAGAAACATCATTGCTTGCTAATTCCCTACATACATGCATTCACCCATTCTATACAAGATTTGGAAATCCTATTCAGAGCTACACTTATTTTCCGCTAACAGCTTTGCTGCAGTTTCAGTCTGTTCCCTGTTTCTTGTTCTGTCTCTAGATTTACCTTGTACTCTTTGAGGTCTGTTAATTCCTGCAGAGATCTGGCATGTGCTTGGGTTAAAGCTGCCTCAACCTATAAAAAGATTAAAAACAAGAGTTCAGTTGGGACAGCTCATGTTTAAAGAAAGTAATACAATCAGACTAGCCACACCTAATGGATTTCCAGATGCAAAAGAAGATACCAAAATGATGTGGATTAAACTATCTTCTTTCCATTAAAATGGTGTAAACAAAATTCAGCTTTTCTCAGTTATGTTCAAAATTCCTGCAAAGCTCAACCAGCTGTGGTCAAGTGATAAGTAAAAAATTAGAGCTAGAGAAAAAGCTATATGATTCTAATTATTATTTCTAATATAATGAATATCAACTACTGAGCATGAAGAAAATTAGAGGAAAAGCATATTTTCTAAAAAAATAAAAAATAAAAAAAAAAATTAAGGTTGCCCAGTGGCGCATATAACTAGACCCATTCAGCATACTGGCACATGAGAGTTACACAAACTCCAGGCAAACAAGACAGTCATTTGTTACCTGGCTGGCAAGACGTTTACGGTATTTACTTTCAAGCTTTATTTCAAGTTCTTTTAAGGCCTCTTCAGAGGCCTTTTTTTCTTTCAGAGCCTTCTGGATCTGCAGCTTCTGATCCTCAACAATCCTTGCTAACTCGTCAGTTGAAGCATCACTCACACATGTTACTCTATCTGTTTGGCTGCTGCAGTCCTTACATTCAAACACAGTTTTTTTAACTTCTTCCAGCCTAGTTTGCCATTCTCTTTCTATCTTTGCAATGATGTCTTCTGTCTTCTAAGAAAAAAATATAGAGATAGATTTAAGACATACTTCCCCAGCATTCTAATATAAATAGAATTTCAATAGCATTTAACAAACAAAGCATTAAAGAGCATCAAAACCTAAACCCTTAAAGTGGCACAATACCTGGACCCCTCATCCCCCACTTCCTCCTGCACCCTCCAAATTACACCTCCACTGTGCATTTGGTACAGAAGGAGCTGTTTATTTTTCTTCTTCTACCTAGCCTCCATGGGGAAAGATGTGTAACAGATTTCCATAGGAGGGCTGAGCCCAGCAGAACAGAAAGCTGAACTTTTGACTGTCAGATTAGGGTAGAAAACTCCAGTATGTTACAGCTGTGATTACATGCTGCAGTGTTACTTTATAAAACCTAATTTTCCAAAGA